TGACACCGGGAATGAAAAAATCCCAATTCCATTGCAAATCTATAGAATTGTTACTTTTTTAAGTAAAAACTGATACTGTAATGTAGCCAAAATTAGTTTTCAGTAATATTTTATCAATTTATCTTATAATTATAATTTTGAACGTTGATGCACTATGCCAGATCACGGTTTGTAGATTTCCTAATTTTATTTCATTTATATAATAAATTGTTACTTTTCAAAGAAAAAACTGATAATCATGTTGCCAATATTAGTTTTCAGTAATTTTTGATGGATTTATCTTAATATATTAATTTTGAAGGGTGATGTACTATGCCAGATCACAGTTGGTAGATAACCTAATCATGTGACACAAATGAGACATTTTTTTAGGAAAATTGGTCTGACTCCAGACGATTCTATTTGAAAGACCCTGTCTTAATTAAGATTTAACCAAAATCAAAATGCAACATATACTCTATTGCTCTTTTTACTGTTGTTATATTGCAACTTTCAAATTTCCTTTCCCTTTTTGTAAGCGTAAAAAGTAGTAAAGGAACAAACTAATACTCATCAAAATTACTATGGTTATTTTTCCAAAAGCTAATCATTATGTAGTGATATGTTTAACTATTTCACTCTTAAATAACGGAACATAATTTAATGTTACTAAAATAAAAACAATTTTAATCATACTTTATTTAAAGTGAATTGGTCTATAATGGAAGATCTAAATACCATAAATAATTACTTTTATATTTAGTATAATATGTTAAAGCAAACCACAAAGTTGTATATGAGTGTTCTTGGCAAGTGTTTGATACATGATCCGATACCACATATTAATATATAGCATATAATAAAGACTTTTAGTGTTTTTGAACAAAATGTTATAATTCACCATATATTGTGTTCATACTAAATCATTTTAGAACTCTATCAACATTTCCAAAATATATCAAAAATGCACATCTCTTATTGTCTAATTGTGGTCTTGTTATCAATACTTATGGAAAATGTACACATTGTAGACCAATCCACTTTAATAACAAGTGTTTTTTACAAATTTCTTTGTGTTTTCTAAGAAAGTTTTCAGAAGGATATTTTTTAAATATTTCACAGCGGCCTTGGTAAGAACTTTCTTTTAAGATGTAAATCCTCTTGAAGAGACAGGTTTAAAGTACAAACGATGCAAAAAGTTTGCTGGTCAGTTATTGTTTCAGCCAGGAACTAGCATATTGCACAAGGTATTTGTGATGCACAGTTTATAAACACTTTTATTTTCGATATGTTTCAATGCATCCAGGATCTAGGAGTTAAGTCTTAAAATTGGACTCGAGCAGAAGCATAATTATCATTGTCACTGTAGATTTACTGGGGCTGATTTTCTGAAAAAGAAGAAAAAAGAGTAAATGAGTAAATCGAAATATAACATAATGCAACAGTGTAGATTAAAGCATTTATTAAAAATAATCATATATTTTATGTCTTTATAAAAAACACACATTTAAAGGGACCCACTTAGGTTCAAAAGCCTAAAAACATAACATCTGAATTTCTTACTTAAATGAGCTGGGGGCACTTTGAACAGAAATATAATATGCAAAAATAGTTAAGAATTATACTTATAATAAATTAAAACTCGAATTTTAATGCTTTTCTTAGCCCGATTTGAGTGAAAAGTGTTTAAACACTTTTCATGTTGGGTCAATTTATATTTTCAGTCCTCTCATAAATCTCAGTGGAGTCCCTTTAAGGTGATTGTTGGACAGTTCAGTTTTACCTATGTTTCTTTATGAATTCCTTTGATGTCTCACGTGCTCATAATAATTCAGACATGCTCTGATTGCCGGAGTAAATCAAAATCAAAATCATAAACTTCCGTTCGCCACGTAATTTGAATTATAGTTAGTAACTTAGTTGGTAAGTCAGTAGTTTATTTCAGGGAAATGTGTAAAAATATTGTACAAATTGTATAACATATCAAATACACCAAGCCCAATGGGCCTATTGTTCACCTTCAATGAACATGAAAAACTTACTGGAAGTCATAAGTTATTATATTTACAGATTCATTTGTAAGATTCATTGTCATAAAGTGATAAAAATGTGAACAGAATATATTAAGATTGTCCTTTATATGAATTATTATATGTGCACGACCTGCAAATGAGTAGAATCACGGATCTTTCGTAAGCAAAATGAATTGAAAAATACACCTTTCACCGGTCAGCTGAAATGAACTATTTAAGCATAGTAGTTGGTATATGATTAAAGCTACAGACCTTCTGAGAGCAAACTAAATCATTTATGCGCAGCTGACCTCTAAGTAGAATTTATATCCGATATATCAATGTAGTCAGCCAACTTAGTTTAATAATATAGACATGAGCTGACATCAGTTAAGAAAGTCGGTTCTGTAAACCATTTGAGCGTAATAGCTGACATCTGAGTAGAACCACTGTCTGTTGTTGTCAGCTAAGTGAATTTAACTATTTGGTCTTAGCTAAAATCCGAGTAGAACCACGGACCTTTCGTAAGATAACTAATACCAAACTATGCTTAAGAGGTATTTAACTCAGGTGGTATTGAAACTCGGCTTACAAAACCTTGCGTAAAAATTAATATTTTCGACAATTTCCCTTATAAATGTCCGTTCATGAATTTGTTGAATGAAGCAATTTTCCTTTGCACGGACTTTGTCTTTGAAATTTAATTTAACAGTCTATATTGGATTTAACTGGTCTGTCAATCATGTAGATAATTTAAAGCTTACCTTGTCAACAACGGAACCTGGTATTTTTGTTTGTCAAAATAATCTTTAACTACACAAATCCTAATTGTAAAATGTCACAAGAGATTCTGCATCACAAAGATTTTGAACCAAGGTCACTGAAACGAGAAATAAGACACGACATTAACGCATGCATATCTTATTAATGTGTAAATTTTGAGAACGATGTCTTATTCTAATCTAGTTAAATTTTTGTGGACAAGAGAGTCATCACCCTTGTATCGCTCACCTGATTATAAAGGCACTAATTAACATGGAGCAAATAATATCGCAAGTTATGAATGAAAAGCATATATTGATTCTTATCTTAAACTGATAATTATCCAACATGTCGGTTTTGGGTTCCAATGGAAGTCAATGGTTTCTAAGGGAAATCACTTCTTTATATAAATTCAACTGGTTCCTACGGATGTTAAATCTGATAAAATCACAAATTGCTAGTAAATCCAATAAATGATTTGCAGTTTAATGGTTGCATTGGAAGGTTATGGTTGCTAAAGAAATTCAATGGTTGCTACAGAACATAATAACTGCTATCGAAAATAACATTGGCTATAGTAAAAAGTTCTAATGGTTGCAATGGAAAGTCAATGGTCGCTATGGCTAAGGTAAGTCAAATTTGGTATGGAAATCACTGTTTGCTAAGTAAAGTCAAATGTGCTACAGAAATAAATGGTTGCTATTAAAAGTCAATGAAGCCATGGAATGTCAATATCTACTATGAATGTCACTTGTTGCTATGGAAAGTTAATCGTTGCTTTTGAAGCCAGTGGTTGCAATGAAAAGTAAATGATTGTAGCTATAAAACTAATAAGGGTTGCTAGGTATTAAAATATCAATGGTCATTTGGAATGTTTAATAAACATTTTAGGAAAATTCATGACCCTTGGTTGAAAGGTATTAAAAAGGATCTAATTATATGATATTCTTGTTACTAAAGGAGTCACCTTATTATTTAAAGCGTTTCGCAATTAATAAAACAAAACAAATCTTACACAAGCAATATTTCCGGAAAAAAATGATAATTTTAAATTTACAAACTAATACTAATCAACATGAGATAAATGTGTATAAGAGTGTTCAGGTACATAAATGTTATGTAAATACAGCCAATGTTAAAAATACTGTATTTTGATTAAAATGTCTATTTCAGGAATCAATTTAAAATTCTTGGACACTATTTGAAACAGAATTTATCAATATCATTTTGTTCAATTGATATTTAATACAAAAATATTTTTTTATCTTCACAGTTAAAAATCTATTTCAGTTCTTGCATGTATAATAAAAAAAGATAAAATATTCAATGTAAAATCACTTACCTGTGAAATATTTTCAAATCCTTATCTAACTTTTATATTCATTAAATTCGGTAAAAACTTCCTTGAATTATTTATATTAATGAAATGCTTTTATTTATAAACAATTGTCAATTTATTATTTGAAAAGGGAAGTACATGTATGTTCTAATTAAAATTGAAGAGTCGCCAGCCATTTTGTTTCTAAGTGTCCATATGTTGAAATTATTGTTTAAATTATTTAAACTTATTAAAGTAATTTCTTAAGTTTATTTCACAATATTTTTCCTTTGTTTATTCTTTACTTGGTTTCCTTGTTTTGAACTCGAACCACCTGTCGTCGTATATCACATAAAAAGTTTGTGATCTCCGAATATTTTCTCTAACACGGTCATATTCTGTTTCCGGTTTAATGTATCTCATCTTTACTGTAACTGACTGCGGCAGATTTTTCAGCACGGTGATAAAGTTCTGTAAACTTTCTGCAGACATTTCTATACTTTCCAACACCACGCGTTCAATATTCAACATGTCACGTGACAGTAACAATGAATTTTCATCTAGATTGATGAGCGACAACGTAACATCAACTAATGACGGTGTTGTTATATTAAATTGTAGCCTCCCAGGTAAATTCCCCAAGTGTAACTTTGATAGAGTTGAATGTTGAGACAAGTCCAAGTTCATCAATCTCTTACAATCATAGCCGCCATGTTCATTACAGCCTAACATGTACAATGTTAACTCTTTCATTGATTTTTGACCGGAGATAAAATTGAAAATTGTTTCATGTATTTTGTGAGATAACGTGAAGTGTTCAATATCTAAATATTGTAAGTTTTGACATCGCGCAAAATTTTCAGTCCGAATTTCTACATCATTTGTACATGAACTAGACGACAAAGTAACGGACTGTAAACTGGGAAACAAAATCCGACTTATCCTAGCCTCCTTGTCGTAGTCACCATAATAGTAAAGTTTCTGTATATGACTGAGATCTGTGAGAGAGAATAAATCTATAATTTCACGTAAACTGCTGGAAGTATTCTGATGTCTATATAAAGTGATTTTATGTTGGTTTTATTTTGTTTTAATAAACGTTGTAACAGCTTACTGTCCTCGGTGTACTTGTCAATGAAGAAATCTTGTAAACATAATTGAATATTTTCACTTTCAGGCATTTCTTGTAAACACGACATGAACATTTTCTGTATGTTATACAATGGAGTATTGTACATGTTCTCGTCACCTGTCCTAGTTCTATAGTCGCGTGTTTTCTCGTCTTCATTTATCACAGACATCAAATCATTTGATATTTCACACATCCGGTCAGCATTCATTTTACTTATAAATTCACAAATTTTTGACATGTCTAGAATGTCTTGAATATTTCTACATTTTTCTACAACAATTTTCTGAGCGTCATTTTGAGAACTTATAAATATTGCAGCAAAGAATTCTTGCACTGTTTTGTGAGAAAACGATAATTTAGTAATTTCTTTGATTAAAGTTTTACTTCTACTTTCTGACAATATTCCTGAGAGAAGACTTAATTTTATGTCGTCTGCTTTGAGATATTTTTCAGCAACCGTTCTATCAAATACCAGCGTGTTTTCTCTGTTTTCGTGAAATAATGTTTGGTAAGCTAGTTCTGCTAATGATGTTATAAGACTGTAAAACTTTTTACAAAATTCATGACTTTTGAAGTATTCTGGAATTTCACTGGCAGACGATTCACGAGATGGTTGAACTTCCGGGTGTTTCTTTGACGTTCTTGATAATAGAAATTCAATGATATTGGTGTAAATTTCATGTTTTGAATTTCCTATAGGAATGTTGTTGCACCATAGGCAAACAATATACATGAGGAGGAGTGGAATCACTTGCATGTGCTCTAGGTGACGGTCACGTATCACTTCATTAAAGTCCCATATTTTACTCTCCAGTACTCTATCGTCACGGACACCGGTCATTTTTCTTATAGCATTTTCTTCAAGTTGCCGCGTAGAATCTGCACTTAATTGAACCAATTCTACTTTTTTGTTTATTTGACTTGACTTGAGATTTGCAATTCCGAGCTTCCACGGTCGGGTTGTCGTTAGGATAGCACAATTATCACGTACGTACCGATGTGGTATTTTTTCTGTTACTTCGCTACAGCTATTATCAGGATGAGTCCATTCATCAAGACCGTCCAATATAATCAAGCATTTTTCTCTACGTAAAACTTCATCTAGTTTTGCAGAAGTAGGAAGTTTCGTCGTAATTTGCTGTTCAATCATATCGTCAATGTTACAGACAGAGGTACAGTCTCTTAATAAAACCAAAAATAAGAACTTGAAGTCAAATAACGTTTTTAACTCGTCGTCTTTAAAGCAGGCGTAGTTTTCATCGTGACAATGAGCTTGACACCACGTGACTGCAAGATATTTTGAGAAAGCAGTTTTTCCAAAACCTGCATCAGCTGATAGATAAATTTCTTGTTGATCTCCACTTCCGGTTGAAAACAGGTCTTTCAAAGACTTGATCGGTGTTCTTTCCTCTTCATGACAAGTTAGGGATTTCTGTTTTACGGCGACTATATCTGGCATCACATAGAACCCAGCTAGAGGTGTCTCTATTTCTTCAAGAAGCGGTGAGAGTGGTATTGAACTACACTTTTTTCTGTAAAATTTAATCAGGTCGCCTTGAAATTCTGAAAAGAGAATAGAAAAAAGTGTTAATCAGTGACAGTCTTTATATATAATATATGAAATGTTCAGGTGTTTACCAACTTGAATTTTGTATGGTTAGACATCAGATAATGCACACGGCAAATAAGAAGTAGATATGTAACACTATGTTTAACAATTCATAATTATAGCATAAACTTGTTTTAATAGTTGCATAATTTAATTTACAAAACAAAGTATTTCCATCGTTATAATTATGCTCGAAATACGGTGGCATAGAGGGGACATCAGAAATATATTATCTATCACGTGAGCACGCGATGGGGCACATCAGAAATATTTTAGCTATCACGTGCGCACGCAATGGGAGACATCAGGAATATTTTATCTATCATGTGCGCACGCGATAGCTACTACGTGCGCACGCGATAGCTACTACGTGCGCACGCTACAACTAATACATGAGCACGCGACAGCTACTACGTGCGCACACGACAGCTACTACGTGCGCATGCGTAACTACTACGTATATAATACCTTCCATTTCTAAAATGGACAGGGAAGTTCTTATTCATGACTTGTTTGAAATTAAAAGCTATCGCGTGCGCACGTAATAAATTGTACGTGCGCACGTAGTAGCTATCGCGTGCGCAAGTAGTAGTCATAGCGTGCGCACGTGGTAGCTATCGCGTGCGCACGTGGTATTTAAATATTTTCCGATGTCCCCCATCGCGTGCGCACGGGACAGGTAAAATATTTCTGATGTCCTCCATCACGTGCGCACGTGATAGATAAAATATTTCATATGTCCGGTCGCGTGCGCACGTTAGAGATAAAATATTTCTATGCCACCGTATTGAAAATAAACATTTACGTTCTTCATTCTGAACCCAAAGAATTGGTGGGGGTGAGAGGATGTGGACAAGCATAAGAAGAAAATATTTACATTACATGAACAACACCAAGAACGATATATGTTTATCATGTTTGAACCGTTTTAAGATTAAAAATATGAAAACAAATCGTTATCAAGGAGGGGAAAACTTTACTCGATACAGGAAGTAAATCCTCCTGGTGTCTCCATCATTTTAATTTTGCCTAATCGGAATTTTTCGGCTATTATTCATAATCAGACTATTGTTTGATTTTATTAACCTATCAATAGCATACTGATTATACGGTCAAAGCACACAGTATATAGAGGATATTTGTTTAGTTCAGTGTAAGATAGGAATATATTTCACCAAGTGAGCACCAAAAGGTATATTTCACGAGTGGCGCAGTCACGAGTGAAATATGAACTTTTAGTGTTCACGAGGTGAAATATATTGCAATCTTACACTGAACTAAACGAATTTTCTTTTTATTTTATGCAAATAGACGTTTAAAAAGACATTTAGCCTAAAACTAAATGAAAAGCGTGCTAAATAATAATACAACGTGGCGTCATTTACAACGTCACATCATTAAAATGGTTTCCAGTACCGTGAAAGATTGTGTTTCACTGAAACATTGTAGGGGGCTTAAATTCAAAACAGTGATATTATCAACGTCAACTATCATGAAGTACATTTGTCAAAGAAATGCCTCTGTGTTTTTGGTCTTTTGTCAATGTTACACTGAATCAGGTAATCGACGGCTTGTAAATAACTCTCTCTCGCCTTATTTTAAAGCTAATCAGGCTATTGTATTAACTTGCCGATTAAAATCTATACAAATCGTTCTATTCAATTTAGCCGATAGAATATATACCGTTATATTCAACTTGTTGACCAAAGTTATACATACCGTTATACTCAACTTGCAGACAGGAGCTATATATACCGTACCATCCACATTGCAAACAGACGCTATATATATTAAACTTGCCGACAGAAGATATACAACCTTTATATTCCACTTACTGTATAGCTTATACATATTACCGTTGTCATATCAAACTTGCCGACAGAAACTATACTTAATGCTATATCAATTCTTTACCTTCCCTTATATCAAACGAATAATATAAATTCATTCAACTCATTCATTATACCAAGACTCAATCAATCGTTTTCTTTAAGGTAGCGCTTTTACTTTTGTTAGCTACTTTTCGACCAAAATGTGACAGCCTCTAAGATCTTCACTTTGGCACAGAGGTAACATGTGTGTTTTTATTTATCACTTGTGCACGAGATACTGTGTCACGGCCACGAAAAATTAAGTGGTGCGCACGAGATACTATGTCAAATATGCGATTTTAAGTCGTGGCCACGTGATAATAAAGTGGTACGCAAGTGTTACTATGTCGTGGCCACGAGTTAATACATCGTGACCACGAGATAATTAAATGGTGCGCACGAGATACTGTGTCGTTACCACGAGTTGCTAAGTGGCCACAAGTAACTCAGTCGAGACCACGAGATAAATAAGTAGTGCGCACAAGATACTTTAGTCCTGGCCACGAGTTACTAATCTGTCTGTCTTTCTGTATGTCTGTCTGTTTGTCTGTCTGTCTCTCTATTTAATAAATAGGGACAAGTTATCATTGCATGTAACAGCTGCATTAAGAAAAAAGTAGTCCGGCAAGCCACAAGTGAAAATAAGGAAATGTTTTTCACTGTAGTGAAAAATATTTTTTACAGTTAAAAAACGGAAAATGAAAATACATGTATGCATTTTATTTCATGAATATTTCTCAATATTTCATTTGTAAGTATATGATAGAAATAAATAAATTAAAATGGTGAATTCGTGAATGCCGTTTGTTGGAAACGGGAATTCACAAAGTAATCATTGTGAATTGTGAAAAGTCAAACAGTAAATTTTGTCGTGTCAAACATGTCAGAAAATAAAGATAGACTTAAAGTAAAATACATCGTGTTATAAGTATTTAAATGTATTTCAAAAGCTAATAGTTTCAAGAAATGCAACATCCTATTAATAAATTAAATAAAGATTAACTGCATAAAAAACTTTTTTCCCCACAGATTCTCGGAATGACTTTGTAACAGACTGATTAATACGTATTATTTTCATTTTCCATTGTATTATTATTTCTTCCAAGTTAAGTGTATTTGAAAATACTATGTAGTCATAACTTTTATTTCCTTGGCAAATTTTAGATGGTGGAACACGGTCTCGGACTATCTCATGGAAATATAAACTTGCGGGGCTACTTTTTTGCTGATACAGATTTTATGTGTTTTACATCATTTGTTTCTTTTTCATGTAATATAAGGTTATAATAAATACCTTGATATAAAAAACAATATATACGTATACCGGCTCAATGAAATAGTTGGAAGATGACAAAGTTATAAATTGTACAAAACTATTGTATTCATACCATTGCGAGATAAGGTGTCATTTATTATAGAATACGCAAATAACTTTAGGAAATATATATTATTTCATTTAAGTATGTTTGATTTATTTGCTAGATCTAATATATGATTGTTTAAGTTGAAACAGTATCACTGTTGTATCTGTCAGAATGTACAAGCTTTTGTAGCAGTAATACTGCTGTTTCTGACAGAATGTATCAGCTGTTGAAACAGTATCACTGTTGTATCTGTCAGAATGTACAAGTTTTTGTAGCAGTAATGCTGTTGTATCTGTCAGAATAAACTAGCTGTTGAAACAGTATCACTGTTGTATCTGTCAGAATGTACAAGCTTTTGTAGCAGTAATACTGCTGTTTCTGTCAGAATATACCAGCTGTTAGAACACTATCACTGTTGTATCTGTCAGAATGAACAAGCTTTTTTAGCAGTAATATTGCTGTTTCTGTCAGAATGTACAAGCTTTTGTAGCAGTAATACTGCTGTTTCTGTCAGAATGTACAAGCTTTTGTAGCAGTAATACTGCTGTTTCTGTCAAAATGTATCAGCTGTTGAAACAGTATCACTGTTGTTACCGTCATTATGTACCAGCTGTTGAAACAGTATCACTGTTGTTTCTGTCAGAATGTACCAGCTTTTGTAGCAGTTATATTGCTGTTTCTGTCAGAATGTACTAGCTGTTGAAACAGTTTCACTGTTGTTTCTGTCAGAATGTACCAACGGTTGAAACAGTGTCAGGAGAAATGACTGCATTGATGTAATATAATCTTAGGGAAGATTAAGTAATAAATACTAGAACCAATTTCTAAGATATGGGGCTTGGGCAGCACCGCCTGACATAAAATTGAAATATTCTCAGTTGGAAAACACTAGCATGTAATTGTTTAGTTAACACTATTTTTTGGGTATTTTAAATCTGTCTCAAATCAATATATTCATTCAAATAACAAGCTCTGATTGTTTTTTTACACCCAAAACAATGAACTCTGATCATTATTTACACCCAAAACAAATACACATCATTTATCAATCACTTTTACGAAATATCTTTTCACGTATACGTCTTTTAAACGAAACAATACTAGACACCTGGCGAGCCCAAGCTCTAAGCAACTTATGATCTAACAAAGCGATATAATCATCACAAAATGAAGAACACAAAATTAATATTTTTACAACTCTGAGATATAGTATAAGCCACAAACATTCAACCAACAATATTATCTTCATAAAATCTAATCAGCATCAGAAAGCAAACTAAAACACCCAATATTTACACACACACACACATATATATATATATATATATATATATATATATATAATAATATATATATATATATATATATATATATATATATATATATATATATATATATATATATATATATATATGTAGTAAAACTGTACGATTATTCTGGGAAACAGTATCATTGTTGTTTCTGTGAGAACTTACCAACTGTTGACACAGAATCACTGCTGTTAAGCCGTAAAGTAAATTTTCCGAAAAATATGTAGGTTAAGGTTTTTATGTTCATTATCTTAAACTTAAAAAAACATACACAAATAAAGCAAACATATCTTTGATATCAACAAACGCACTTTAAGTCTGTAAATATACAATGAAATTGAGTCTTTCTATTTTGAAAAGAGTAAGACACAAGTCTATAAAACAACATCGTGTTTTCATCATCGTGCCATCGTCTTCCGGTGGTCATGCTCAATGTTATATTTGCGATGGTACGATGGTGAAAACGCTATGGTACGATGGTGAAAGCGCGATGGTACGATGGTGAAAGCGCAATGGTACAGACTAAATAAAAGTCACGATTGTCAAAACGGAACACCGTATATTGGAGATATGTCAAATATAGAATCTTGACATCGTAGATTCTTGCAAAATGTACATTTAATTTCAACTCATGTTGCCATCCATGTAGCAATATTAACCCTCTAGACTGTGTGAAATTATGTTCTAGAATTGAAATTTAATAAAATAATACGTGTAAGGAGATTATGCGTAAAAAGAAAATATGACCGGTGGGCCATTTAATGATTTAAGCATTTGAAATAAGAAAGGATAAAACTGTTACACACAAACACACGCACACACGCACCAACACACACGCCAACACACACACACACATACACACACGCGCGCGCGCACGCGCACATGCCTCAAATGTACTAAGTGCATTGTTTTTCTTACCTAGTTTGCGCTGCTGATAGTTGTCTTCTGCTGGCAATTGGCTTTCTATTTTAGCTATTTTGACATTAACCGTTTTTAATTCGTCTGTGTTTTCCGACATACGTTTTCTGGTTTCAGCTAGTTCTATGTTTTGTGCATCAATACTCTGTTTCATTACTTTTTGACCTGTTTTCAACTGTTCTAAATCAGTTTTTACAGATTTGTCAAATTTGTTCCATTTCTCAATTTCATCTGTTACCCTCTTCTCTGTACTGGGATCAAGAGTACAGAATAGAAACTCATTTATTGTCTGCTGAAAGTCTTTGATTGGGTACACAGTATCAATTCTCAGGAGGATCTAGAATGTAAGCTAGATGTTTGAAATCTTTATGAGATACTTCGCATAATATTATACATATGTGTAAAGATAGATGACATATATTAATCGAAAGAAAAGTAAAATGCTATCGAATTTTATTTGGAGTCTTAATTAGAGCAAACTACATGTATTTTTTCATCAGTTGATAGTAAAATAATGAAAATCGCACACTAATGATTCCATAAAAAAAGCAATAATGGTATCGAGTAAAGCTATATTATATGTTAATACATTTAGGTAAAGAAGAATAACATTGCAGTTATAAACAACAAATATTTGTGTGAGGCTAAAATAACTATACGTGTTTTCTTTGGTTTATTTACAAATGAATCATTTTCATCAGTTTGCAGAATATGAAATAACCAACCTCCTCTGTTCTACGAGAAAAATATTGAATAATTATTCATTCTAACACTATCGGAATTTTTTCTGTATAAACAAAGAAGGCCCAAAGCGTGCATTATTCTACATTCTAACACGACCCTCATTTTTCCCTATTGAACATAGAAGACCGAAAGTGTGTATTATTATGCAACATAATCACTGTTGACGTTCTATATTTAGACTTATGACGTAATCATTATATACATGTGACGTAACCACTAAAAATGCGACGCGCTGAAAATAAGTACGGAAACAAATCACACGCCCGTTTAACTCACAACGAGTGTAAAATGTCCATCGGTAAAAATGTTGTGAGCAACTTCCGTTCCTCGTTGTGAGCACCTATCTATGACGTGTGACACGATAAACAAGGTGAGTTTTTCATAATTTTTGAAGATTAAAGACATTTATGTAAAAATATCGGAATGCAGATATATTCTTTTTTGCTTTAATCCTCGGTGTGAGCACCATAACCTTGTTATGAGCAGACAAGCGCAGTGCGTGTCTGGTTTAAATATGTAATTCAGATGGTGAAAATATAATTTTCAATCTACCAAAGCAATTAAAACGTTTTTGCACAGCAGAATTCTTTTGCAAGACGTTTTGCATACCCCGAAGGGAGGCATATTAGTTTTGAACTGTCCGTCCGTCAGTCCGTCAATCTGTCCGAAAACTTTAACATCCTTTTAAGTAAATCAATCTAATTCATATTTAGGCACAACACCTCTTTGGACAAGGCCTTCCAACTGACCTATATTCTTTTGACCTTGACCCCTGAATGACCTTCACCTTGAAGGTCAAAATGTCCAAAAAACCTAAAAATTTGTCATAATTAACTTCCATATAGTATACGGATTCTACTCATATTTGGACACAACACCCCTTTAGACAAGACCGTCAAACTGATCTGTATTTTTCACCTTGACCCCTAAATGACCTTCTTGAACATCCAAAAACTTTAACATTGGTCATAATTTCTGTATAAGTAAGTGGAATTAATTCATTTTTGGACACAATGCCCCTTTGGACAAGACCTTCCAACTGACCTATTTTTATTTCACCTTGACCTTGAATGTTTTTGGACAATTTGACCTTCAAGGTAAAGGCCATTCAGGGGTCAAGGTAAAAATACAGGTCCGTAGGAAGGTCTTGTGCTAAGGGATGGTGTGTTCAAATATGAATCAAATCCGTTTACTAAGGAAGTTATGGCCAATGTTAAAGTTTTCGGACGAATTGACGGACGGACAGTTCAAAACTAATATGCCTCCCTTCGGGATATGCCCAACGTCTTGCAAAAATATTCTGCTGTGCAAAAACATTTTAATTGCTTTGGTAGATTGAAAATTATATTTTCACCATCTGAATTACATATTTAAACCAGACACGCACTGCGTTTGTCTGCTCACAACGAGGCTATGGTGCTCACAACGAGGATTAAAGCAAAAAAGAATATATCTTCGTTTCTATGAAGACTTTTAGGTAATAAATTACGCTGAAGACTTGTGGGCATCTGTTTAAGGTTAGAATGCACAAAACTTCACCAGAATCGACGTTTTCAATGTTAAATTTGGTCAGGAAAGAAGTTGTCTCCAGTTTTCCAGCTACCCCGAGTGCCTGCGTCACACGGTATTTCCATCAAATTGTCGACCAACAGGCAATATCTTTACATGTGCATACTCGGAAAACACATCGCTAGCAAACTGCATCCAAAAGTCCAACTTTATAGTAATAATTATATTTTTTCTTGGCGTGTTAGAATGGAAATAGATCTTAATTCTTCGTGCATTATTGTATACTAATGCACGTTTTTCGTTCAAATGCTTTGTAATTAATCACTCAGACATATCGGCCTTCGTGATTATATTACTACGCATTTGAACTCAAACCGTGCATTTTTCTACAACAATGCACACATAATTGATATCTATTTCCTAAATATATATATAGATAGTACCAAGATATAATTTATCTTATACCTGTTCGATTTCATTCCACTTTTGTATAAAGTCATTATGTTGTATCCCTGTTGTAGTCGATATATGACAAATCTGAAGATATAAAAAGAAATTCTCCTCAAAAGAAAAATATAATGCTATAATAAATATACCGACGTTTTTGGATTTAATATTCTACATTGAATTAAGAAGTCTGAAAACTTACTTCATTCCTGAAGAACTTCAGCCTACAAATGTCTGCCTCAATTGAAGTGTCATTCTGTGCTGGTGGAGTGTCCCACTTAAATTTTGTGTTTAAGTTGAAACACGTCAGATTTCTCATAAGACAAATGATGAGTGTTATGTCCAAATCAGACGTTGAAACAGTGCCACTTGATGGATACAATAAATCATATTGCACCTGTGTTATTATCTTACGTCCCTTTAGAAAATTGATTTGTGCCTGTTCATTAGCAAGGCATGCACTTAGTGTTGATGATTTGGCTGCAAGTTTCTGATCTACATAATTTCTTAAACATGTAAGTCCGCCATCTATAATGAGCATTTGTAGACGGAATAGGAAGATACGATTATCAGCTTTCTGTGCCGAAGATGATGTACCAGGTTGGGAAGCCGCCATGACCAGACATCACATTTCATGTCAGTTTATTATAATCATGTCACACCTGTAAAAGACAACGTATAATTATTTAGATTTACCCAATTATCAATGTACGAGTACATCAATAAGCGTTTGAGCTTAAACTATTTTTTTGACATAATATTTCCATGTTTTTTTTGCAATGACCTGTTTGTCTGGCACCTCCTCGATACAAGTTATTTATTCTTCATTCTCATTCTAGCACGCTACTGAACTGGGTAAATTAACCGCACGCCAATACAAATGTCATATTTCTGTTCCATTGAACTACAAGTAGTTTTATGGTTTAAAGTTGTTTATTCAATTTTCATGAATAAAATTATACATGTATTACAACATTGATAAAAAAATATGTTTAATCATTTTGATTAAAATGTGTCTTCTGCTGTTTATTTTTTATATCAGTTTACCGCCATCAGCCCAGACAGCCGATTTACTTTAAGCTAATGTGATATTCATATAGGTGAAGTTAACGATTGATCACGTCAAGTTTTGTATTGATTTTCTTCAAATAGTTTTTTTTTTTTGCTTTTTAAGTCGGTATTCAATTTGTGTAAATAAAACTGTTAGATGTTTTATTGACATAATCTTTATATGTTATAATCAATCTTAATTCAATATGCATGCCTGAGCAGAGACTATGAAAGGAATTGTAATATTTAAAGTGTAAACAATGATAAGGTGCCTGTGCCTCAAAAATTTTTTGATGTCGATATCACATGTCAACTGAGCTTAAGTTTATAATTCTTTACCGAAACGATCATTTTGATAATACACAAACTGCGCTATCATTAAACAAAACAAGAGCCACCGCCGGGCGGGGGCAACGCTCGACTTTTAACTTTTTCTAAGCGCAAACATAGAAAGGTTTGAACATATATCAACGTTTCCTTTTTATAAATTTAGTTGGTCTGTCTTGTCACATTAGTTTTGTTTATATATTTTGTATATATATGAATAGAAACATTAAGCATATTTCTAAAAATAGCAACAGTACGCAATTTCTAAAAATAGCAACATGACACAATTTCTAAAAATAGAAAAAATGACGCAATTTCTAAAAATAGAAAAAAATGACGCAATTTCTAAAAATAGAAAAAATGACGCAATTTCTAAAAATAGCAACAATGACGCAATTTCTAAAAAAATAGCAACAATGACGCAATTTATAAAAATAGAAAAAATGACGCAATTTCTAAAAATGGCAACAATTTCTAAAAATAGCAACAATGACGCAATTTCTAAAAATAGAAAAAATGACACAATTTCTAAAAATAGAAAAAAATGACAATTTCTAAAAATAGCAACAATGATGCAATATATATATATATATATATGTACATGCATATTATATATATATATATATATATATATATATATATATATATATATATATATATATATATATATATATATATATATATATATATATATATATACACATTTATTTATATCTATATATATGTATATATATATATACACACACACACACACATTTATATATATATATATATAATACATATACTATACATGATATATATATATATATATACACACACACACCAATAAATGCACAAATCTGAGAAAATTCAGTAATATAACCTTCAAGGTCAAGGTCATTAAAGAGCCCAAGCAAATTTGGGTTTGATAAACAACAAGGTCTGGTCCTTAAGAATGTTCTGTTATAATATGAAGTTTATCCCTTCAATAATAGCAAAGTTACAGCCAGTTACCGCCAAAACAATGAAAATTTCAATAATTTGACCTTCAAAGACAATGTCAATAATGAGTGAAGGTCAAGGTCTGACTGGTTATTTTTAAGGGATATCCTTGAAAATTATTATGTTCAAGTTTGAAGACAATCCATTCAAAAATAACAAAGTTACAGCCAATAACAGCATGAACAAGCAAAATTTCGACATTTAACTTTGAAGGTCAAGGTCATTTATGGATGAAGGTCAAGGTTAGTCTGATCTACTAAAAGGTATTGTCCAAAGGGATGTTGTGGCCAAGTATGAAGACAATATACCAAGAACTTAAAAAGTTATGATCAACATACAAGTTTGTGGACAGCAACGGCAACGCCGACATAACTGTAACAATACCTCTACTTTTTTTTTTCAAAAAAAAAAGTCGAGCTAAAAATGGATCACAATAATTCATACACAGTTGAAATGCAATGGTTTACAGTTACTAATGTTAAATCTAAAATATCTTGTGTTAGATAAAACATCCTATAAACCATAAGATATGTACTAGATTAAAGTATGACTGTTTGTGAAGCCGGCGTCAGAGGAAACAAGTAACTACGTAATGGTTTTTAGCAAATCGTGTTGTATTGATTATATGTTGCCGAAAGAAGGATCAGTAACTTCTTATTCTTTCCATCGGTTAAAAAAGCAGACAAGAAATTGCCATTAGGCGGACACCTGACTGCGTGCAAAATATTATAACCCCAAGAGCAAAATATGCGTATAATGCTATGTCCCTGTTTGTGTTTTTAAATTAGCAATTTCGTGATCGATCTGTGTTTTATCAAAACAATGGGTATCTGAAAATCAAATCATATTCACATCAGGTTGTAAAATGGTGTTATCCAATATGATTTTGTGTCTAATTATTAATCAAATAAGTAAACAAATAACACAATAAATGGTACAGAATTCAAATAAGACACTAGAGTTTTATTTAATTATTAAGTAATCACATGTATCATTCAAATTCGTTCATTTTTAACAGTTTTTTCTTTCAAATTTTATGAACCATTTGCGAAGCTGAAGTAAAAAAAGCCTGAATTTTTACACTTAATTATTTTGTCATCGTGACATTTCACGGAAATTCAAGTCGAAGTCTTTTTTAATCTTAATCTGGTTGAATTAACCTATATTTTATTTATGCCATAAGTCCTGTCTCTTTTCTTTCTTTTGGAATAAGCCCACAATATCAATGTAATATAAAGGTCTTGAGCAAGTTCAATAGTTTTTTCCAAAAAGTTGTTATGTCAAAGCATGATACAAAACACCTATTATTTAAATACTATTGTCAGTTCCAGTAACATCCAACGAATTGACTTTAGGGGTCAGTCAATGTCTTATTCCGTACAATAAATGCAAACGACCTCCTGTACTTTCCTCCTCTTAATTTCCTTATAATTAAATGAGCGGTTTTGGCCATTTGAAGACAATTCTTAAATTTTTCTATGTCATTTTAACCGTTTTATTTATCATTTTTTTGTACTGACTTTAAATGGATTTCACGGCATATGGACATACCTTGTGGTAATGATTGTTAATATTTAATTCAAGTAATAACCTTATGTTATTAAAATAATGCTAAGATACCATTTGTAAATACAGTTATTGTTATAATTATAATATACTAATTGTTCATATATAAGAACTGTCATGTGTCGAATGAAATGCTTGCATACATTCGCCCCATATCAAAAAATAATTTTTCAGAAAATATTTCAGTGGTCAACATGGCACAGAAGCATAAAATAAAGAAAATATAAAATAAGTACAGAAAATCACCAATCAAATTGTATGAAAAGAAATATTAACGTACATAACAATCCACTATTCAAAGCACGGGTATTGCTAAGAATTAGAAAGAGAATTGAAACACGAGGCTGATTTCGTTTTAAATTCTTTATTATTATTGATTTTTTATCACAAAAGTTACGCCTTTATTTCCCTTTTATAGACCTAAAGATCACCTTTGATTTTGTGTACAGGAATGCTTTATGGTTTAAAACTATGTAAGGTTGGTTTAGATGGAAAAATACTTAGAATTTTTTAAGTAAATTACGCTAGTGTGAAGTCATGTGTAAAACATTGTAACACTTTTAACACAGAATGTTTTGATATTTCGCTAGGTTTGAAACAGGGCCGAAATAATTCGCCAATTTTAGTCTCTCTATTTTTAGAGGATATTGAACTTTTTGACCCCAACCAGGGCGGGGCCAGTTTTGACCCTGGGGCATTTTTTTGTTCAAACTTGGTAGACATTGACTAGATTATGTTTCATACCAAATATTTAAGCTCTAGCTCTTTTGGCTTTCTAAAAGAAGATATATTTAGTTTTTTTTCTTTCGGTTGCCATGGCAACCAGAGTTCTGCTAGGAATTAGATTATTTTAATTAAATATGTTTAAAGTTGACTACCAACGGAACATTCATGTGAAGTTTGGATGAAATTGGCTCAGCAGTTTATGAGGAGATGTTGTTTAAATTAAAAGTTTACGGACAGACGGACGAGCGGACGGATGGACGCCGGACGAAAAACGATCACAAAAGCTCACTATGTCACTTTGTGACAGGTGAGTTAAAAAATGAATAATTGTTTTATTTTCACTAATTTTGATTCTGCTTGAAAGAGGAGTGTAACAAAGTTGGACATTTTCTTATTATATATTATTTGGCTTTTGACGAGGTCATTTAGAATTATACCAATGATTATTCAAAGCATTATTCAATCTGAAATAAGAGAGAGAAAGGGCTAGGTATGTTTTGGGTCGATTTTGGCCCAAAATTTTGAGGAAATTAAATATTGAATATAAATAAATTATTAAATGTCAACAAATATGCATTTAAAATTTGACGTTCCTTTGTATCGCAGCAACGTAGATAACGTCACTGATGACGTCAATTTTCCTCTAGTTCGGACAAAATTCTCGAAAAATGGGTAACTTTTGGTGCGATTCTACCAATATTAGGTTAACGCATTTTGACCGCTTAGGTTTTTACATTTTATATTACCATAAAATATTAGCTTTTAAATTATCAATTTCTATTTTGTGGTTACTGCTTGCGTACTTCTGTTAATTACCCAAAGTTTACACTCCGTCATTTTGCTGTTTGCACACTTGCAAATGGCGACGGATTGGTATGGGGCGAAATCGAGAATATATTGGTAGAAGTCTTTAATAAGTGAACGTACATTTTAATAAACTAAAGTATTTCTCTTGAGTGAACAATTCCAATAATATGCAATACTTTTTGCATGATAATTATCCAAA